ACACACAAACACACACACACACATAACACACACACACACACAAACACACACACACACACACAGTCCATCGCTTAGCAAAACGTCCCATTCTAGAACGTTCCCACAGTTGTCTTGGAGACTGTGCTCAGAATGTTAATGTCTCTATGCAGCGCTGTCATGGCAACCTGGAGAGCTGCGTTCCAGCCAGCTCATGCCTGAAACTGTGTGAGGGGTGAACGGAGACAGAGAAACCGGAGGTCTCTTTCCCCGGACTTTCTGCTCCGGGAGGGGTCTGCTGTGTCATGGCAAAATATGAAGAGGTGCCAGACCTCCTGCTGCCGCTATTTATACACCTTCTGCACGTGCTCACATTCAAGGTTGATAGAGAGTGCATGGGCTGGTGTGAATACAGGAAGTTACATCATGAACGGCAGAGAGGTTGCCCTCTTCTGGACTTGGATGGGTACTAAAAGTGTGTGAATGTGCATGTGTGTGTGTGAACAGAGGGCCTGCATGCTCTCTCACAGCTCCTCTCCACCCATGAAGGGCAGACACACACATGCACTGACACACAGTTTGTGTAACGTGGTTTTCGCAGCAAGGACAGGGGAGCCTCCTGCAATAGAGGGTAGCCTGGGAAACTCAGCTCTCTGATTTCAGCAGGATGAACAGAAGATGAGTCTGGAGAAGATGGCACAGACTGGCACTGTCTCTCCATCTTTCTATACTGGCAGGTAGGGCTCATAGACTGGTTGCACTAATGGGATATTGATGCTGTTTTAATCTGCTGTAGTTTGAGATAATGTACACCTGTTCTCTGCTGCTCTTTTGTGCTTTCATAAGCTTGTGTTACTTTTATTACAAAAAACACATTTTAGCCTATTTAGGGTATTCTGCTGTTCTGATTTAGATATACATATAACTGTAATTTAGAGCCTCTACTCAGCGTTTCCTTTCCTCTGTGTTATAGAATTCCCACATATCCAACATCATTCCAGAGTCCATCTGATGAGATTTAGTCTCCGAGGACTTCCAGTCTGTTCCACTGTAAGGTGACACCCCTGCAGGAACACTTCATAATCTTCCTGTCATCAGCTGTTGTCTAAGGCTCTTATAGCTACTTGCATGTCACACACGCAGACACACACATGTGACAGTGACAAAGCCTTTTGCAGTTTATACACAGCAGCTTAGTTCAAAATATGCAAACATGAGTTTCGTCGCCCTCTCTGGATGAAAGTTTGGAGTTAGTTTCGCCTCTGACAACAACCCAGCAGTGGGCTGGGTTGTTGTCAAAAGTTGGCTCTATTTGCAGTGGTTCCCAACCTGGGGGTCAGGACCCCCACTAGGACTCGCCAGAGCTACACAGGGGTGGTTGCAAGGCCTTCTGGATTTTAGGGGGTGTAAGAAAGCATTTAATTTATTCCTGTGATGAAAACTAAATGACATTTTAAATTTTTTATTATTATTTAAGACATAAACTTTCACAGGATAAGGGCACGTTAAGGACCTGAACACAAGCTATATTCACAGAGCCTGCATACTTTGCTAAACAGCCTCATCCTGCATTAGAAAATAATGCAGTTAAAACCACCAAAGAGCTAATGGAACAATAAGAAGAGAATACTGAGAGGAGCCTATTAAGTATGTATGATTGTTAAAACAAACAGTTTAGACAGATAATACAATATTCACAACAAATAATCTGCTCAAAATTCATCCAAATCGCTTATTTTCCCCAACCTTCTGCAGTTATTACCTTCACTGTTTAGGGTAATTGTTCAGTTTATCTGTTGTTCTGTACTGTTATTGTCTGTTGTCCTCTAAATGAAGTGGTTACTAATTTGTAAACAACCCTAGTTTACCTTTAAGTTTCTCCTAATGGCTTATTATTACTGAACCTGTGTGAACACTGTGGTCTTTTGTCCCATAGGCCACCTGCACAGTTGCATTGCTGTTTAGTGCACAAAGGCACCATGGGAAATATAGTCCAGTGCTGTCACACACTGTCAAACTACTTTAAGTGCAAGGATGCACAGGCCCAGGGTGAGCCGGAAAGATCCCCTCTGCTCTCCAGCGAAGAGAGTGAATGTGACTCACCGAGCCTGCCCGACGACCTGGAGGATGATCTGTTGACCGTCTCCACTGGTGTGACAAACCCAACCCTCGAACCAGAGAACTTCTTGTTTCCTGACATCATCCTGAGCAGCAACCTGGGAGGGGACGTAACTCTGGTGGAGCCGATGGTGTGTCTGCTGGTGTCTGAGGAGGAAGAGGGAGCGAGGGTCGATGAGCCAGGTGATGAAGGGCCAGAGAGGAGACACAGGGGGTACTCTGAGGTTGAGACACAGACCGAAGTTGAGACACAGATTGGCATGGGGGTGCAGACTCAGACAGAGTCACAGGCAGACGTTCAGGCACAAACAGAAATAGTGGCATACCATATTGAGACTGTGGGGAAAGAACTGACAAATACTGGCACTACGAAAGACGAATGGAAAATACTGACACAAGTGGATGTGCTCTTGGAGGCACAAACAGGCACACAAACATCACAAGAGAGATGCTCAGAAACAGAGAAACAACAGAAAAGTATAGACTCTGAGTTAAAGGTGTCGGGAAAGATGGAAAGACAGACAGAGAAAAACAAACTGGCCTTCAGAGATGTAGACAAGAAAGCTGAACAGGGAGAACTGAAAGAGAATCACAGCCACGAGAAACTGACCGCCACTTTAACAAAGCATACGGTTAAATCAGGACAAACTACCGGGTTAATGCAGGAGATAAAAACTGATGAAGGGAATGTCTTTAAGTTGAATACAGATACAGAGTTTGCTAAGACAGAGAACGACACTTTGCCGACACAGGAGAATGTTAAGGACAAAGAACAAAACATTATATCAAAGTACACTTCAGTGGTGCTGCCTGAACACAATGTAAACATCATGGATGAGAACGCTGCTGCTGTGGAGTCAAAATACAGCATCAACAACACTAAAACTGTGGAGAACTTTGACCCTGCTGGGTGTTGTGTTGACCTGACACAACAGATTACACAGGACAATGAACAGATGGGACAGGCGACTGTGGATCAGGATGTGAATCAAAAGACCCAGAACGATATCCACACAAAAACAAACATAAATCTGTCCGAGGACCACACAGGTCAGACAGCAAATCAGTCGATTTTAAAGGCAGATCATATTCAGAAAGACCTGCACCCACCGAAGAGGGAAGAGGACGACAACAAGACCAGTCTGCAGCATGTTTTGGAATCAGCTCTTCAACAGGTGGAGGAGAAGGATGATGAAGGGGCTGAGATAAAGCCAGTTACCTTATTTTCAGTTGACAGGCTGTTTTTGGCAGCAGCACATGTCAAAGGTGTGTAATTTTACAGTATATGCAATCATAGGCAACTTGTACACTGGATCATCTTGCTATGAAGGATCATTTGTTTTATTTCTTACTAAATTAAACGTGGAAATGAAAAATTTAATCAGAAAATGGCTTAATTCTTATAAACTATTAGTATATTATAGTAGAAAATCAGGCCATGATTAAGTGTAAATTGGATATTTACACTTGGTTTTTGGTTTGAATTTTACTTTTCTTTTTCAAAATGTCCTTTAATAATATCCATTTATCATTTCATTATTCAATTTCCTTTTCCAGTTTCCTCCTTCTTTTCAGTTTGGCTGTTTATTGTCTGGTTATCCTGTATAGAAATGTAATAATAGTTTATTATCCATTTCCTTTTAAGT